CAGTACTAGCTCGCAAGCTTCTCAACAACAATCTCCTGTAGTTCCTGAAGACCAGGGCTCATTGGAAAAGCTGCGTGAGGTCTACCCTCCCATGGAAACTCCTCTCCTTCAGCTTCCAGAACCCAAAAGACTCTTGATTCTCCATTCACTGCTTCTATTGTTGCTCAGCCTAGAGCATTACAATGCTCGCTCACGAGTATTGATGCTGTACGTCGCATCTAGTCTACACCTGGATGTTAAGATCCTCAATGGTGATGAGGTCAAAGTAGCACGTGTATTACTTGACACTGCCCTTGAGTTATCAAAAAATGCGGAAACACAAAATCATGGCAAGAAAAGCGACTCTTCGAGGAAGTGGAAGGTTGGTATAGCTTCAGTCGCCGGAGCAGCGCTCATTGGCATCACTGGTGGACTTGCCGCGCCCCTAGTTGCAGCTGGACTGGGAACTGTCCTGGGGGGTATTGGACTTGGTGCTACGGCAGCTGCAGGGTACCTGGGTGCTCTTGCAGGCAGTGGTGTCATTGTTGGTGGTTTATTCGGCGCTTATGGAGGCCGAATGACTGGGCGCATGGTGGATAAATATGCCCGTGAAGTGGAGGATTTCGCATTTCTGCCCGTCCGTGGTTCTCGTCAGAGACACCAGGATGAAAAAGAAGCCGCTAAGCAGGATCACAGACTACGAGTTACCATCGGTATCACGGGTTGGGTTACAGAAGAAGACAATTTTATCGTTCCATGGCGTGTCATTGGCGCGGATTCCGAGATCTTTGGCCTCCGCTGGGAAACAGAGCCGTTGATGAACCTCGGAAATGCAATGGATCTCCTGGTAACAAGCGCTGCATGGGCTGCCGGTGAACAAGTCCTGAAGAAGACGTTCTTTGCATCCCTCTTGAGCGCCGTGGTTCTGCCTCTAGGCCTGCTCAAGGTTGCTCGTGTAGCCGATAACCCTTTCAGCGTTGCGAAAGTTCGGGCTGACAAGGCCGGGGAGGTTCTTGCCGATGCCTTGATCAACAAGGTGCAGGGCGAGAGATCAGTCACTCTTATAGGTTACTCCTTAGGCTCGCGGGTGATCTTTTCCTGCCTCCAGAGCCTGGCCAAGCGCGGCGCATACGGTCTCGTGGACTCTGCAATTTTAATGGGCTCAGCGACTCCTTCTAATACCCAACACTGGCGCCGTATGCGAAGCGTAGTCAGCGGACGACTGGTCAATGTTTACTCAGAGAACGATGCTGTGCTTGCTCTATTGTATCGTACCAGCAGTCTTCAACTGGGCGTTGCGGGGCTACAACCCGTCCAAGGCGTAGCCGGTGTTGAGAACTTGGACGCCAGCGACATCATCAGCGGTCACTTGCGGTACCAATTCCTGGTCGGACATATCCTCGGCAGGATCGGACTGGAGAGCATTGATGTTCGTGAAGTGGAACGCGAGGAGGCTGCACTGGCCGCGAAGGACCAGAGACAAGAGCAGGAACGGATCCGAAATGAGCGACGGGCAGGTGTTCAAGGTAGTGACTCCGCACAGCAGAAGTTGGAGACCGGCGAGCTGAAAGATGAGGAAACTCGTCTGCAGAAGCAGGTCGAAGAGAGAACTCATGAACGTCTACCCTTGCGTCACCATGAGCAGGGGCGCCAGGATCTCCATTTAACTCATGATGCGGAAAGGAAATAAGCGCTGAGGATTCTGAGCAAATAGCGTTGGCATGTGCGTTTGGACAAAGTGATTTCTGAAGTGAGTGCCAAGGAGCAGAGCAGAGATTCCCAGCTGCGTACGTTATAGATCACCAAGCATCAATATATGCTTCATCTTGGGGAAAGCTATCTTTCCACCATTTCCTGTTGTTATAAATTCACTATAATATTGCATGTTTACATAGAGTACCGCATCCAAACAGAATAAATCCATTCTGTCCCGGGCTAGGGTATACAGAAACATGCCGACGTTTTCCATGTAATCGTAGTGGGCTTCTCATTGGTGCTTCATGGGCGTTCTTCAGAAAACTGGGTTAGTTAAGGTCAGATACCGTGTAGGCAACTTCCATGAAGATGGGTTTCATCGTGGACGATATACTGACGGAGGACGGGATGGAGAACAACCCCGAATGTAGATTCCATGAGATAATTGGAATGTAGGAATGTCTCCAGTTAATTTTCCGATCCAGCCGTGAAAAGTACTCGGTAATTAAGGATGTCTCCCCGTGTATGCGTGCGTAGGCTCTGCTATTCCTCGGGGCTGCTAGAACGGGCTGATGGCGAAAGAAGGAAAGGTCACGGTTTCTAAGAAAAACAAGAACTATAAAGTCAACTACTTCTGTGTGTAAACGGGCAAATACGAGAAAGGTTTGGAGCCCAGTGTGAAGGAAGCGAAGGAAAGGCTGATTTCCATTGTTTTCCAATTGATTATTTCGCTGAACCGTACGGACGAGATTGAGATGTATGAGCCCAAGGGTATTTTCTGATCAAACAGCTCAATGTTGTCGTTCTTTGTGGGGTACTCTTTCAGTTGATATAAGTCATATTCGTCTAACATCCGTTCAACTCATCCGCCGCATCTGGGAGTCTCTCATTGACAACGTGTCTGGATCACCCACCTTCGGACTCCTCCATGTCTCCGGGGATGATCTCGTGACAGGGCTTCTACTGATGCCTCGTGCATCATTTATTGTGTGTTTTATTCACGCAAAAGGGTTCTATCCCACTCTAGAGATAGAGTCTATTCTCCTGATCTTTAATGGATGTAAAGGCTAAAGACATTCCATTCTAACTATGGATGAGTTGCGCAGGCCTATGGGTGCTCTAGTGAGTGAATTTATTCTTTAGTTATGTCTTGAATATCCCTCTGACTGAATAGAGGTTGTGCCCCTGGGAGTTTACTGTACCCACAATGAACCTGAAAGCTCTACAGACAATCTTTCCGTACCCTATCACAGTATCGGATTACCTGCTGACAGCCTAGGATTTGCTTTGCCCCAGCTCAGCTGTGTTACGGATCTTCTAGCATTCAAGATTAACATATAATGAGCCCTGACTAACTTCCGACGCGAAGGCACTGTCCATTCTGAAGACCACATGGCATCTGCCACCCCACAGGATAGAGAGACAAGAAGACAAAGGGATAAAAATAGAACTCATATTCTGCACATTTCTAGTCATGCAACCTGCGTATTCCTTCTGCTATCAGCTTTGTTAGTGATATCTAGTGGTGTACTACACTGTGTCTAGCATTCCAAGCAATAGCATCTAAGTTCTGTGACCTCTGTAAGCTCTTAATCCATTCGACTGCAGAGTATTGTTAAGATTACGACCTATAGCAATATGGCAGAACTACTTGCAACTCATCTACCGGCAACTAGAGCATTTCGAGACGGTACTTCCCTTCCGGATTTGATCGTTGCGCTTGTTACCTGCATTGTAGGTTCTACCCCGAGGATTGCTCCGTTCTGATGGTTAATGTTTGTCCTGTAACCTTATGGAAGTTGCCATTCCCCTAGAAATTACCAGGAGGCCACCATCTGCATATGCAAAACTGGACGGATAATAACGATATCGATGAGATATAAAGCCAAAGTACGTCTCACGTTAGTCCCACAAGCGATTCCCAGGATTCAACTTAAAAATCAGCAACCAAAGACACGTCCTTCTATGTGTGCCTCTTTAAGCAGAAATATCTTTAGGACTGTTTCGGACAACCAAAAAGAAAGTTAGAACGATTGTTTTGAGTGTCATTAACTATTTCAGATACCTTGGAAGAAGGTTCTCCTGTTAAAGTTGGCCTCAAGACCCAAGAGTCTGTTTTTGGGATATATAATCTCCTCCAATACTTCGAAGGTCTACGATAATAAGTCAACACCCTGCTTTCTCATTCCCAAATATTCGCTCTTGCGAGTCCTTCCATGCTTTTCTACTCGCCTCCCGAATACATTTGAGATCTACCACAAGGAGATCCGCTCAATATGTCGCAGCCAATGGACCGCCTTCAGAGCATTGGTAAAACAAAGTACTGGGCCGAGATTAGTATCCTTCCAGTCAACGAAAACGAGCCAGAACGTAATAAATACGATCCGATTACTGATGCCAAAAACCTTAGAAAATCGTCAAGATTTGGAGCCAGGGCTATAGAGATGATTAAGCATGGGAGGCTGCAAGTGGAAATCGAGAAATGTGACAATGTTTTCGTCAAAAACGTTCTCACCGCGCCTATTGAATACTCGGGTAAAGAGCCGACCAAAGACGATGCGACAAAAGCTATGATGCATAAGCTTGATACTATGTGGAAAGAAGGATCAACCCTAGAAGAACTCGCAGCATTACATACCCGTCGTTCTATAGCTGCGCTTGAAGCATTCGGCATAGAATCCAGGTCTGACCGAGGACGTTCGTCTCGCGAAGACACCCCTGCACTCCCCCCAACACCTCTGCTTCCGCCATTAGACGAGCATGACCTGCCAGAAGACCCATATAATCCCTGGTGATGAGAAGAAATAGTTTTCTTGTCTGGGATCGTGGAATATGCTGGCATTTTGGCGAGAAATGGGGGTTTAGAGAGGTATCTTGCCTTATATTTGTCTCCTCTTCCCTTCTATTGTTTTGGCTTTGAAATCATGAGACAATCTCTTTATTCTTTATAATATCAATCACCTCGATCTTCTAGGTATAATGCATGTTCTTTATACATTGATTAACGGCTTTATGTCAAATATAAGAGAACCCAAGCCTCGGATAAAGTTCCTCTAAATCTCTCTGCATTGGTTTATTCCGAATATCCTCTGCGGTTATTTCGACGTTCAAGGGAAAATGTGAGATAGTTTTGTATCTCAATACAATATATGAATATAGTAAATGGAATTAACCGCATTGATAGCTATTTTCAAATACTTAATAAAGAATGAGGTTCTCCAGCCTTGTAAACAGTTATTATAACTTTCCTACACTTCTACTACTGGCTACCTAAGAAGACCACTCTAAACAAATCCAGGAAGCGCTTCATACAGCACTCAACCAGAATGGATTCTTGGGACTTGCTAGAAAAGAATTACTATGCTGAGGTCAACCTCTTACGTTGTGGGAAGAGAATCATGGATTACGATACACAGCGCGACCGCGAAGACCTTGAGAAGACGCAGAGGAACGCAAGCAAAGCCATACAGTATATTAAGCAAGGAATCCTCAATGTGAGTGTTACAGAGAGGTGCAGGCATGAAAAGTACACAGCCCCTAGTTATATATTCTCGAAGAAAATCCCCGGTCTTACGAAGCCAACCCAAGAAGCGGCAAGAGAAGAGATGTTGAAGTACCTTGAAGGTTTGTTCCGGGGAGAATCAACGCCAGATACCAAACAGAAGCCACAGGCAGAACTTCGTATTCTTGGTAGGCCCCAAACTGAGGACGGACATACTTTCGTATCACACCAATGCGTGAGCGATACATCCGACGATTGGTTTGATAAAGAAGTGTGCGACTGGGTTAACAGTGGCCGGTAAACTTGTTTTTGAAACCAGTTTTCTCTTATGTTATTCTTGACATGGGTCTTTGTTCTGAAGTGATCTTGTCTTGTAGGTAATAGTCTAAGGGATACTTCTTTATTCCAACATGAATGAAGGTAAGATGGTGTCCCAGCAATTGTGACGAGCTCGCATACTATACGCTCTCTAAACCTACAAAAGTTAGTAAGGATAAGAGCCAGCAAATCTATAGGGCTGTATGGGAAAATCTACTGCTTGTCCGGGTTGAGAGGCAACACGACCAAAATCGCAAACTGCGTTCTTAGGGCTTCTGATATTTATTTAATTTAAATTGCGGGAACATTACAAGGTAGTCACTCTGTCAAAGTGAAAATCTAGTCATGCAGAGAAACTCCGCGTGCCTGCAATGTTGGCGGTCCTACATATATTTTTAATGACTTTTCGATATTTTATATGTTCTTATACTGTTAGGACCACTCTTGTATCGTCATTGTTAAGTATGGAAGTTTACCCTGACTCGAACGTCCTGCCATAATTGCTTGATAAATCTCCCTTGCAGAGTCATCCATGGTGCCAAAAGAGAACGACATTTAAGGTTAACAAGAGACACTCAAAGCAAAGTATTGTCTGTGATTACATGGTGTACACCATTAAAGATTACATAAGATTGTAAAAATAGAATGAAAAGTTTTGGCTACAGCTTAACGAGAGTTTTATACTTGTTTTTGACCCTCTTTCATCTCTGTATAGCATCGACCTCAATTGATAGAATACATGTTCACTACTGGCACCATGAATAGCTCTACGAAGATATGTACCCTTTCTTTCATCCTTCAGTACCGTCTTGAAGACTTAAGACATAAAGTTGTAACGAAAAGCATTGACCTGAGCGAACTATTCAAGTTTCTCGGTATAGTTTAATAGCTCTGATCCGTGAAGGAAACTACCAAAATGAAGATCTCTTTTTTTTTTGGAAAACAGTAACCTTAGACTCTTTAAAGAAGTATAAAGACGTCCTTTAATCCAAGATCACATCAGAATATCTGCCCTCCGTAGCACACCCCACCAGGTGACTTACAATCAAAGTCAGACCCAGCACAGTATCCCCGGTATTTCTCCATGTAAGTCTCCTTGAGTTACAAATTGTTCTAAATGAAGACATAGTTCTATGTACTGTAACGCACACCTACTAATCCAGTAACTCTTCATTGGAAAATTTAAAAACATCCCACACTACATTCAACACAACATGAGTATACCAATTGAACACTTCGTCCAAGTCCAAGACAGCATCTCCGACGACATCGATATAAACTTGCAAGACACACGCCTCCTAGCACGCCATCTATTCTAGCAAAGCATTTCCTGGAACGATATTCGAAATTTATAAGCATGGATAATAGCGACAAAAGCACACACCGTCTCTTAATCTGGGTAAGTACCCACTGGTTGAGAAGCCGAAGTTTGTTCGTGCTATGTTTCAGCTAAAAATGGTGGTCTAGTTATAGCTGGATATAGTTAGGCATAGTATTGAAGAGGAATTTAGGCGGTTACAAAGACGTAGGCTTGTGTGAGGTCTTTTTGTTTCTAGATCACTTATATTATTTCACACAATAAAGAAAGCCATTGTATTGTGGCTCATTGTCGAGGATGGCTTTTGTAGACAAGGGCTTGGTCTTTTGATAAAATATAAAGCTGACTCAAGCTTCGAAGCGTACTGCTATAATTATCGATTCTCGTTGTTCATGCATACTTATGATCTCGATACGGATAATATTTCCTAAACTACTACGGTTTACTGGTATGGAGCCCTACCACCACTTGGAGTAACCATATACAACATGAATATACCACAGGCGCACGGGACCAGCAAGCCCACACAAGTAAGGGGGCACATCAAGCTAAAAGCTTCAGTCATTGTTTTTTGGTGGAATGCCTACGGCGTGCCAAAGAGGGAGAAGGGAAGCGTACGAAGAAACCTACAGATTACAGCCCTAGAATCTATTCTATTCAGATCGGCGAGGTTACCCGGACGATCCACCGAGTAAGGAGGAAGCCGTCCAAGAGTTGGCTGATAATATTCAAGCAAGACTTGATACGTTCTACAGGAAGAACCCACACATGAAAAGGACGACGGTGAATATGGTTGGTATGTTGAGGTCAAAACAGAGACTGCTCCCTGAACAGAATAAAAGGGGAAGATAAGACTCAACTCGCCTAAGTATTCTCGGTTCCTAGACAATTGCCTACGGATTACGAAGTGTGGGGAAGCTAAGATGACCACTGATGACAATTCATCGAAAGACGATATATACGAACATCAGTTCCCAGACCATAAGCAAGCTAGCTTAAGGTTGGAGCGTAAGAAAAAACGATGCTATTGCTAAGCATAACACCCATGGCTGGAGGTATGTCCCTCCTGCCTTAGGGTTTCGGTGAATGGGTCAACTTCGTTGTTGAAAAAGAGGCCGGGCTGGAATATATCATGCCAAACATGAATTCGAGTGGGAAAATCTTGAAGATACAACGGGAATATTGCACAGGAGCCGGGTTTTGCTTGCAAGAATTAAAAAATTATTCAGGAAAATGAGGTAGAAGACTCTTGGACTGCGAGTCCTGTTGACCTGATCACGTAGGCGAGTGCATATTTATTCTTCTGAATTCGTGCAATATTTACGTTACTACATACATGAATCAAGGGAGTATCATAGCATAAACATCCATCAAACATCGTAAAGAAATTCCATCATGCCAAACACATTACCAGATCGCATTAATCCCATGACCGAAAAAACATCTGCTTTGCGCTTCATCGCGTAAAAGAAAGCATTACAGTCCAGCAAAACGTGCCCATCCAGCAGCCCGGACGGTTGGTTTCTCGTCTGTAGCCTTGTTTATGCCGCCCCGACCTTCCTCCGCAACCTTCCCACTGACATCTCGTCTTCTTCCAACTCCCAGCCCAGCAATGTAGTTGCCATATGATAGAGCTGATCCACCGCTCACATTAGAACCGAAATCAGCTCCAGAGTTGCTGACAACACGGCCCTTACGATCGCTGTCGACTGTCATAGGGCTGTGAGGTGGAACTATAAGTCCGTTGTCATTGACGTTGATCGCATCGTCGTGCTGCTTAAGAGCACCGTAAGTGTTCATCTTCTGACTTCTGCGTTTCATAAGTTTGCTCTTCTTCCGCCCTAAGCCACGCGAGTCCTCATCGTGATTGCTGACGTTCCGGGGAATACTGAGTCCAGTCTTGCTTTCAAGTTCACCGTAAAACCGACCGTTTTTCTCCGGGCTGTCAACCGGAGGTGGCGAAGCTGTTGGGTTAGGGGAGAGATTAGGGATATCCACAAGCGCCATACGGCCATTTTGTGTTGCATCATCAGGCGTTTCATCAAAGGTAGGTTGCGGGGTGGGTGGGTTCAGCGCTAAAGGATTGACGCGTAGTGACTCGGAAGACTCCCTAACCTCGTCATGGTCCTCGAAAATATGGATGGGATGATCCCCAATATCCTCTTCGGCGTTATCGTAGAATCTATCCCGCTGTGGAAGATAGTGATTCCCATCATCGTTTCCATAATATTCCTGTATGGGAATAGATTCATATTCGCCCCGTACATCTTCTCGGATTGTCTCTTCAAGGTCCCATCCAATGCGCTGATTGTTGAACCAATCCAAGGGCCCACTATTACCAGAAGCTGGCGTATTGGTAGTTCTACTGTACACAGAGGAGGGGTCGCGGTGAAGGAGATTTTCTTTTTGGCTTTCTTCCACGGGTGAAGCGGATCGAGACGGGAACGCAATCCAATTTTCTGAAGCTGGACTCGCACATTGAGATCGGCTAGGGACATCCGGAGATCGCTCTCGTACTGGTGAAGCGTAGGAAATTCTGGTTGTAGGCCTCGTGAGAATGTCTGTGTCCTGGTCCGGAGGCTGGTACATCATGTGCTCCGCAGTGTCCGCTTGTTGGCCAAAAGGCATTAGCGGCACAGGAAGTTCGTCATGATCATAAGCCATGGTCATCTGGGATAATCTATTCTCCCTCGCGTCTAACGGTGAGGCACTAGAACCGCCCTCGGATGATTTAGCCCGCGTGTGCATGAACGACATAGTACGAGGTGCGCCGATGAGCGTCTCGCCCGACATGGTGGAATCCAAAGTAGAGCTGCTAGTATGCTTCTTGGTAACCTCGGACTTGTTTCGTTTGTGAGGACGAGCTGTCAGGTTATCTTCCAATGGGTTCAGGTCTGGGGGCAGACGGGTAATTTTACGGAAAATGAGACCCAGAAAGACCGAAATGCCCAAAGAGATCGCATGTAATCCACCATTTATGACACTCAGCAAAAACGTGGCCTGTGCAATTTTGGTTGAGACCTCAAAGTCCGAACTGAGCAAAGTACTCCAATGGTATGCATTGTCAGTGTATTGGTTGAAGCCTAAATATGCCGCAAACACGTAAAAAGGGACCAAGCCGAGGTCAAAGGTTCCGCAAAATAACATATAACTGGCTTGAGTTCCAGCAGGTCTTGTGATTGAGCGACAGAGGTGATAGATACCATAAAGAGTGTGTAAAATTGCCACAGCCGGCTAGTAAAATGTTAGGGCAACGTTCAACCAGATAAAACTCGGTCTGTACTCACTCCGACGCGGACAATCCATATAAGGGCAGCAGCAGCATTTTTGATAACAATGGCACAAAAAAGAGACCCAAGAGCTCCAATCAACTGGAGAATGCGCAGCCCAAGCTGTATCTTCCGCCCGTAGATCACCCTGTTCTTAGTGTTTGGGTGCATCGGGGTCCATTTGGACTTGCCACCGGGAATGTTACAATACTTCATGGTACCATATCGTCAGTATCTAGGGCTTACACACGAATATCGTAGACACTTACTGAGTCAGGATGCCGATTAAAATTCACCAGAGGCCCTTTTGGTTTGGGCTTTGACGGTGGACGAGTCCAGCTCGCCTGTGTCGCAGCCTTTGGGTTGAAAGGACGGTCCGTCGGCCCACCAAAGCTGTACGCTGAAGGGGTGCCATAAAGGAATGGAGGCGACTCTCCCATTGTCGCGATGGAAGAATCTTTGACTTTGTCTTTATCAATACATCCACCCACGCGAAAGAGCGGGGAGATGAGTGGCTGTAGACGCAATAACCTTAACAAAAAAGAATGCTGGGGGAGATGAAGTATGCAAGAACAATGGACGGAACCATGGAACGATGGAATGTCAGAGGAGGAAAGTGTCCGAGAAGCTCCTGCGAGCTGACCCGTGCAAAAGCCCTTCTCTATCTACTCCGGATCGTCAACATCGCGATAGTCGGCGCGGCAACCGCCCCGATAAGAATCACGTGCACTACCGTCATGGCCATTGATCGATCTCGGCGAAAGTCAATCAGATGGATCAATTAATTGCGAACTCCACCACGTACGTATCCGTCTCAGGCACAATGAACCTCCAGCGTGTGCCTTACATCTGCTCGCAATGCACGGCGCAGATCAGCCGCTCTCCACTTCGCCGCTCGCCGCATCGTCTTTTGCCGCAACCAGTATGGCAACGACGTCATAACAGTCAGTCCGTTCAGACTAATCAACCTTTTCGCGTCGCTGTTGTGGGGTCGGGTCCGGCCGGTTTCTATGCAGCCTATAGACTGCTCGCAAAAGTGGACGATGCTGTGGTAGATATGTACGAAAAACTGCCCGTGCCCTTCGGGCTGGTGCGATATGGGGTAGCGCCAGACCATCCGGAAGTGAAGGTACGTCGTGGCTAATTGCTCACGTTTATTGTGCCCCACCTATCTTGCTGTGTAGATAGATTAATCTGACCGGCCTCCAGAATTGTGAGGAGAAATTTACCGAAGTTGCTGCATCTCCCCGTTTCAATTTTATCGGCAATATTGAACTTGGCGAGAACCTCCCTCTACAGGCGCTTAAGCCACATTATGACGCTATCTTATTTGCATATGGAGCTCCAAAGGATAAGGAATTGGGTATTCCCGGAGAGAAAGCTTGTCGGAATGTATACTCGGCTCGCGAATTTGTGGGCTGGTACAATGGACTTCCCGAGCACCGCGACCTAGCACCAGACCTGACAGCGGGTGAAAACGCAGTGATTATCGGTCAGGGCAACGTTGCGCTAGATGTAGCAAGAATCTTACTGTCAGATGTGGATACTCTGCGCAAGACTGACATAACAGATTATGCTGTGGAGGCATTGGCCAAGAGCAAGATCAAGCGAGTTCACGTAGTTGGCCGTCGAGGGCCGATGCAGGTATGTTGGATGAGTTCAGATACATTATTTAGCACAGCAAATTTATACTGACAACGTGTAGGCTGCATTCACAATCAAGGAGCTTCGTGAGTTACTTCAGTTACCAGGCGTGTCGTTCGATCCTGTTCGTAAGGAATTATTGCCACCAGACGATATCATGAATGCCCTGCCTAGAGCCCAGAAACGGCTCATCCAGCTCCTCGCAAAGGGATCTAGTAACGATCCAGCAACATCAGCCAAGTCCTGGTCTTTAGATTTCCTTCTCTCACCAGAGTGCCTCAACTGGTCCCCAGTCCATCCGTACCGCCTGTCACACGTCAAATTCTCCCGCAATGAGTTAGACCCGGCGGATCCATATGTTACTAGCGCCAAAGTGTCGCCCAAGTATCTTTCTAACGGCCAGCGAGCGCAGGTCAACATCCCCGCTAATACATTCTTCCGAAGTGTTGGATACAAATCTCTACCTTTGTCTGGACTAGAAGACCTGGGGATTCAATTTGACACGAAGCGCGGTGTCATCCCCAACGACGGATTCGGTAGAGTCACAAGCCCCACAAACACGGGGGATAACGAACAACTCCCCGATGGGTCAGTTATCTCACATTTACCGGGTCTATACTGTGCTGGCTGGGTCAAGCGTGGACCCACCGGCGTTATCGCGACGACCATGACGGATGCATTCACGACGGCAGATGTGGTGGCTGCTGATTTGAGCAGCCACCGAGGCAAGGGGTCTCCTTTGAATGGCCCCGGTCACAGCACCGGCCTTGGTTGGGAGGGAGTTCGCCCCGAGGCCGAGAAGCGTGGCTTGCGGGCAACAACATGGGAGGACTGGCAGCGTATTGATGCTGCCGAACGCGAACGGGGCCAGCAGATCGGTAAACTCCGTTCTAAATTCGGCAGAGTAGAAGAGATGCTGGAAGTTGTTCAGTAAGGATGCCTGTACATTATGATAGACCTCTTACACTATTTATATAGAACTACTACAATAGATCATGAGAAGATACCATCTCCACTTTCAGAATCAAATGCAACGTTCTTTGATTGGATTATCCCGCGTAACGCATTAATGCTATATGACATGCTGAAATAGAGACAGAAGAAGATAAAATTAGATACTTGGATCATGTAATTCATGATTCATCGTGACCATCCATCAAGACAACCCATCCACTCCTAAAAGCCGCAGTTCGAGCGGGGGACTTCAGTGTAGTCCACGTTGACTCTGCCCAACTGCTCGGCCAATCCATTCGTCAGGGTGTTCATGGCCTGCAGGCCGATGTTGAAGCCACCGGGTGCCGCATCAATGGCAGTCACGTAGATGGACTTGTCGACGTTGCCGGCCGCGTAGTGGAGCTGGTAGCACTTTCCGCAGTTGGGGCTGTTCCAGCCGGCGACGGTAGGAGCGCCGCCGATGTTAGGGAAGCTTGGGAGAGATCCGAAGTCGCTGTAGCCCTGGGTAATGAGGCCGTTGACACCGTCCGAGCAGGAAACAGTAGTCAGAGAGCTGCCGCTAACATCATACTTTTGGTCGTAGGATACGGAGATAGTAGCGGCGGTAGAAGCGTCGGTAGACTGCTCAACAGGTGCGGCCAAAGCCGAGGAGAAGAGGGCGAGCAGAGAGACGGCTGTGAAGGACTTCATGATTGTGGTGGATGTTTTGAACAACGGTCGTTAAAAGACGGCTTAAGAGAGAGAGAGAGAATATGGTGGGAGGGCCTAAGGCTTCTGAGTCTTGGAGAGTGTAGTCGAGTTGCTTGGGATTGTATATGCTCTTGGAAGGACTCCGAGAGGCTTTATATACCCATTTTTCAGGGCATCGTATCGAAGCATTCACAGGCTGTTGCCTCGCCACCGTTGCCTCGATACTACATTGCTATCGTGTATAGTAGTTTCGGTTACGATGAATGGAGACATCCTGATAGAACCTTCCTGGACATATTTTTTTGAAACCGGAGCAATCGCAGACAAGATGCGGCGGGGAAAAATCCACGGTAGAGTGAGACAGTCTCCTCATCTGCTGATGGATTGATGGGATTTGATTCATGCGGTGGGCGGAGATCGATGCGGGGGTGCAGTCACTGGGGGATTTTCCCGTTTTCCGGGCCAGTCAGATGATGCCGTGTTGGACCCTAATTGAGACATACAGATACTAGGCCATAGCTTCAGGCGTCCGTTTTGGCTCCGCTTGTCCTAATGCGGGATGACACCGATGATCAGTCCGTTGGCCACTTCTATTCATAGGTTCCATTGACGGCGTGATACGGTCGAGTCATGCAACACCACAGGCCAAGGAATTGGTTATTCCTACGATCCCGCATCTTCGGGTCCATGGGCACGAAGTATACCCGACAACTCCGAGGGTTGCACATGGTAAGATACCAGCCCCCTCCCACCAGTGATGTCATGTCGGGCCATGTTATGTGTGGATAATTAATAACTATCTCCATTCGAAAGCTCAGGAAGCTTCGAGTGGTGGTGAGATCTGATTCACCTGGAAAGGCAGCAGGTCAGGTATCTTTGTGCCAAGAACACGACCGGAAATAGCACTGGGGCCTGCCACCAAACTCATGGCAATGCATGGTATGTCTCTCCATAGCTAATTATACCTTCGTTGCCTTAATCGTATCTGTATGTCTCAGATACGCAGACTTGGGACGCCTGAAGACTACGATGAGACAGCAATCATACCGTTCAATATTCATTGAAGGCCTTGCATAGCTATTAGTACTACTGTACTTCGCAGGTCAGAATAAATCCGGCAATTCATATGAGCTGTCGTTGTTATGAGACGGTTAGACAACGATGTGGTACCACGTCATATTTAGTGGGAAAGTATCTCAACATGACCTACCATAAGCATCCTTTCACTAATTTATTGAGCATAGTTGCATCAGACATGTTCGTTGAGGCACCCGGGGGAGTTCCGAACTGCCGGATTCGGCAACCCTCTAGTAACCAATGTTGGATGGTCGGGAAAGGCCGACAAACCAAAAGATCGAGAAGCCTACCTATATAATTCCCTGAGCCCAAGATTGATTGTGGCCATCTTGTCAGAGGAAGCATTCTCATATTCTAGTTCCTACTCAGGATATATCAATATGGATACTCATAGTTCATTTTCAAGAACCCGATCGGTACATTCCATAGATAGCAAGGTTTTGGCATTGGTTAGAACGAACCATGGTCTGAACAATTGAGACGGCCATGGATGTGTGGTTGGAAAGTATCTCCGTCGTGCGAATATCTCCTGGCTTTTAGGACTAGAAGTTTATAAATGGTCGACCCCCTGAAAATCTTTCAGCAACTCACAACGACAATACGGTGGCACCCTTTTGAATCCAGAAAAGAGGAAAAAAATCTTTTTTTTAAAAAAAAAAATAAACCACTTCTTCTACACCTAAGGTGATGGTATACCCTCGGTACTTATCTTAAAGCGTGATGCTTGCGGTGGCAAAGCAAGGCTGAATACTTGTAGGAGACCGTGTTTAGCCCATAGAAAGTAAACCTGAGCATGTACTACCCGTGCTGGGAAAAGAAGCAACACTTGGAATGGAACTTTGAACCTGTTGGAACTTGGCGACAGTTACTGGCCTCAGGCTCCCAGGTTGCTGATTTTTATCAAATCATTTGACACGATGAAGTTTTTTTTAACACCTTGGTTTCTTCCTATTGTGTACGCTTCTATCTGTACAATAACTACAACGGGTGTCATTTTATATTATCGTGTACTCTTCATTTTCTCTATTTTACCATCTTATGGATCATATATCCAGGCCCAGTCTTTCGATAGACGTACTCAGTCAATCCATGCGAACGTATACAAAGTACCGATAGGTACACCGAGGCTTTCCAGTTCAACCACTCGGCTGCAGTGGCTGTCGATCCCTACTCTCTCATCGGAAGATATGGTCATCTACTGGGCCCAATCAGCTTGCGTCATTGATTCAAGAGTAGTAATGATCACACTCCATGGGACTGGCTATGGTGGCAGATGCTCGGTCATTATGACTGCACCTACAAATGGCCTCGAGCCATTCCAAATCTCAATTGCTGAAACTTTCTGGAGTATGATTGATCTCCTGCCAATTTACTTTTGACAGGACATGACTCTGCATAGGGGTGTCGCTACTGACAACAGACTTTGAAGTTTACTCACAAGGGTTAACACATGCTCACGAAGATGCCGCTTCTGAGTGCAGGCTCTGCCATATGGCCAATGATCTGGCGCAGGTGATTCTGTGCGATAGTTGTCCCTTCGAGGCTCTACGCTATACCGGATCTTCCTGATCCAAACCATTGGGAATGCCGATCATGTACGAAAGCGTTTACTCACTTTCTGGGCACGATAGCTGACTACCATCTGGGAAGGGCCCACTGACCCCAACTGTGGATCAGCGTAGAACAGGCTGCGTACGGCAGTAAAACCATACCCGACTAATACCCACAGTATGCTTTTACGGGTTAATTATGAGTGCGTACCAAAAGATGCTTAACCCTGGAACCATGAGGTGCCCCATATATCTAGTGAGTTGAAACCCTCTCTGGCCAAAGCTTGGGATAGAAAAGCTTTTAATGAGGAGCTTAGCCGGGACAACAGAATGTTCTGAATTCTGGGTCAGGAACCGCCCCCAAGCCTTGATGATAAGCGGTTATATACTTTCATTCTGTCCCAGGAACTTCCCGACTCAAACATTTCGCTACAAGAGATGAACAATGACCACCCTCATTCGCATGTTGCACTTGTTTAATAGTGAGGATGCCCAGACACACCTTACGAAACGGCAAAATGCAACACAAGAGCCTCTCATGGGCGGGGATAGAGCGGGGTTTATTGCTATGGGGGTGGTCGCCCTCTGTTCTTTTATTGCATCGTTCTGTTTGTTAAGTTTCCTCACATACCGTTTTATTTTTTGGAAACATTACTATAAACGTCCTCTCGCCGCAAACCAATATGTCGTGTTGATTTACAATCTTCTTCTGATTGATCTCCAGCAAGCAACCGCCTTCTTGCTATGTCTCCACTGGGTCTCGCGTGGTTATGTCTACTATCCAAGTGCGGCCTGTGTCCTGCAAGGTTGGTGGATTCAGGTTGGTGACCCTGGAAGTGGATTGTTTATCCTGGCCATTGCGATGCACACCGGTGCAGTCGTACTGAGAGGGCGGCAACTTCCGCAGCGGACATTTGTGTGTTGCGTTGTAGGTCTATGGGTCTTCATTATCGTGCTAGGACTGATCCCTGTGGGGTTATTTGGGTCCAAGACTTTCGTCATCTCTGAGGCCGGCTGGGTAAGTTGCAACCCCTGACGAAAGCAGGAACAGAGGGAATACTTACACTCTTAACTCCCAGTGCTGGCTTGGTCCTGAACACGAGACAGAACGCCTCTGGGTTCATTATTTATGGATCTTTCTTGCCGAATTCGGAACCGTCGTCTTGTACGGCATGTTATTCTTCCACCTACGACGTCGTATGAACCAGGCGGCGATGCTCCGTCAAGGACACCAAGAAAGTCTGAAACGGCTAAACCGCGTCGTCGTCTACATGGTTATTTACCCGATTGTATACCTGATCTTATCTCTTCCACTGGCAGCAGGCCGTATGTCGACGGCTAGACACATCGTTCAAAGCAGAGGATACTTCGCCGTGGCTGGGTCCCTAATGGCGTTGTCGGGACTGGTAGACGTTCTTGTGTACACGTTGACCCGGCGGCACTTGCTGCTGGATACGGAGATCAGCACATCGGATAAGATGTATGCCTACTACAACTCGAACGCGTATCAGACGCACATCACAACTACAACAAGAGAGAACAAAAAGGTGCGTGTGGGGTCTCGGCTACGCCGTGGGCTACAGACAATAAACGACACGATAAACGACGGGGACTCCACCGAAGACCTGCGCAAGGATGGCGACATGGAAATGGCCGACCTTGGCCATGGAGTGTACCAGGAGACAACGATCGAGATCTCGCACGAACCAGCGGACCCGGACGAGTTTCACAGAAATAAACGGAGTAGTGGATGATGTGGGCGCCGGGCGGGACTCACAATTCCACTAAAAGAATTTTCATCATACATACTATCTTTCCATTCCTTTCCCTTTTGTCCCTTTTTTTTTTTTTTTTTTTTTTTTTTTTTTTTTTTTTTTTTTTTTTTTTTTTTTTTTTTTTAACTCCCCCTTGTGTCCTATATTGAGCACTCTTCTTCCCTGTACATTCATTTTGACTATCATTCCACAATTAATTACAATGCTACTATTAATGATACCCCAGCATGTTTCTTTGGCTTTTGTTTCTTCCCTAATGATCTTCTCCACTGGAATGTACGTAACGATCTGTATAAATCTGTCATACAATATCTAGTACCGGGCCGAGTTTCGGCAAACGTTTCCATCGCATATCCGGCAGAGTGATCTGCGCAACCATTTTCCACTTGGGGGAAAGCTTGTGCATTCGTGTTGGATCCACATTGTCGGATCGCACCCGACACACGCTGGCCTAAACGCAAAAGGGGTCTTTGAAGTCTGGTAGCGCCTACTGCCGACGACCAATGAACGATCCCTTCAAGCCCCCTTCCTATACGGAGTATGTTGCGCACGAATAACAATTCATATAGAACGGTATACATAATCATCGAAGGCGAAAAACGGGACGCACACTGGCAGAGTTCCCCACAGAGGGCCTACAGCTGCAGAAATTCGCATCTGGCCAGGCTGATCAACATGGATGTGCATTGCACGACCCTTCTACTGACCTTCCCAATGGGGCTATTTCTTCTCCTGGAAAGAACCGGCAGTTCTCTCCGGCTCCATAAAGATCCTGGTTGACTCGGAGTATCCATCCATTGTACCCCGGTTATGGACATACACGGGGTATAGCATACGTAAGTAGTACTAGCCGTTCCTCATCAAACTTAGAAGTCAATAGCGTGAGTAAAATGTAAACAAAGCTACTTACACTACTGCAAGCCATACATCCGTCCCCAAATAGTGTTTTGTCTTTAAATGTCTCCTGGCCGACCCTTCATCCGAGTCGATCATGAGCCGAGGATATGATAACATGGAACCCTAAAGGAAAAGCCCGAAGTATCCGAGAATGTCGATCGTATTAGTACACAGCAGGGACTTGCTTAGGGACCTAGGTCTTGCTCAACGCATTTGTCCTTCTCCATGCCCATGCAACTCTTCTGTATGAACTCAAAAGCACGATCTCCAATTACTCGGTGGTTCACATGGAATACTATCCTTCTAGAGCCGATTCAACCCCATTTGGAATCTATACGAGATTTTTCGTGCGATCTTCTCCCCCTTCAGCCATCTCCAATTTATGGATCCCATGGCTTTAGTCTAAGTTTTTAAGCCCTAGTGGAAATAACCCTTGGTCTTCTAGAACACCTATTCCCTATCCCAGGTTAGCATACTTACTAGCATCTCCTCCTAGGTTCCAGCTAGGTAAAGTTAGACTAATATTATTCAACATGCACGAGGGAAACAAGAACTTCGACCGTCAACCCACCAGTTCATTAATAATAAGTGGATGATTAAAGACGCATGAAACAGGGAAGCACCCTATGTATAAATTAAGGCGGCTGATCTAATTTAGCCTTGTGATGTGCTGCTTATAGTTGCGAAGCCATCGCTCGTATTAGATGGGGCTATGCGGGAAAGACCCAAGTTTTGGACAAGTATTATTAGAATTTAATGCTCGAGGTGTTTTATTGGAGGGTTCTTCCTTTTCTCTGACTAATGGTGATACTTAACTAGTCCACTAAGTATTCACCAAGTACTACGTATTCGATTAACAGTTGGTGAAATGTCAACTGCAGAGAATTATGTACGCAGTTTACAATTTTTTTTTTTTTGTTTTTTTAACTGAGCTATGCCGCTGAGCTCGCGGGATATGCCCTACTTGCGTCGGCTTGATCAACCACAATTATCTTATTACGGGGCTAGCAGATGATGCGACGGTGTATGATCTAGGATAGGTCTGATTTGTAGTCCTGGTGACATACGAACGGATTGGACCTAGCTTATTCGCATGTGGAAGAGAAATAATGAGCTTCACAGACAGAGTTGTTGAGTATATTGAGACTCAAATTGTTGACAGTTCTATGGAGAGTTTGACTAGTCCTTCCTGTCCTTTCTTTAACCAATTTCATGTACTCTTTGGGTCGGACGACTCCACTTTCGGTACCTGTACAAAGGACATACTCTCTCCATAAATTTCCTATCGGCCGACTGATAAATTTGCTCATAGACCACGCATGATTTTAGTATATCACCCTCCTTAACAACCCACCTGATATCGCCATTGACCGTGCAAAGCGTGCTGGTCGCTTGTTGTGGGCAACTTTATTATTGCTATGATGTCTATCATTCCAGCTCTGGTGAGGAACCGAGTCTCCAAAGGATTTTTACCGAACCAAATCATCATGTGAATGCATTTCCAACTACGACACATGATGACTATTACCATGTCTCCTTCGTCTCAATAACTGATCCACCACATGTTCTACTACACTGTGGGGATTCGGCTTTGCGAGCATAATCTTCGAACATACGACTTCCTCGCCAGTGGGAACGAGTCGCTCGTAGCTTAAATGATAGGTATTTCGGCTCAGTTGATTACAAGGCCTCCAAGGAATACAACGATTGTTAACGGGACAGGTTGAGATAACTTTCAAAAACATGAAGACTGACATTCGGCTCATACTGAAAAAGAACTGATGGTATGTTCCTAGAGTGTCCTTGATGATGCCTTTTCTAACTCGGTCAGCAATGCCAGATTGATTCCCATCTAAACGGAATGGAACTTTTACATTTACAGAGGGGTTGATCAAAGTGGCACACATCATTCTACCATGCTGCTGGGGCCAATCAAGAAAATAGGCATGTAACAAGCGCTCTGTTCACATAACTCATACATCTATAGGTATCTACTACTAGTAGGCCACTGGTTGTCATCCGCCACAAATCGCGAATAGTTGAAAGGTAATTGAGATTGAAGTACACAGCTGAAAGACATCAAAACAATATGTTGCTGCAGCTTGTCTAGTTAGCGTTTTATGTGGATGTTCACATACAAGCACTATATTTGGGTTTTGATTTCAGTGCGTAGTGAAGCTATATCATGGCGTGATGATGCAGTACTAACTTTATATGAAAGCGCCTCCAATATGCAGTGCTTCCCTTTGTCTACACTCAAATTTGCCTCCGTGGACTTTATTAAAATCACATGTCAAACCAGTCCTCTAGAAGCAGTTATTTTTAACGGTATATGGATCCTCCTCTACTCGGGGACTCGGAGTTTTCCCATGTCCAGGGTATGTATATACCTGCTCAGGGAGTCCTGAGGTTTATGCCAGTTGGCTATTAGAAGGTCTGCGCACTGTAGACCAAAGGGTCTGTAGAGGAATACGGTCGAAGGAAGCTAATTGCACTGTTCATGTCAAACTATACAATCCTGTTGCGCTTTGGGGCTAGTGCCCTCAAGAAAACTGTATGAATAGCGGGAGCTATTTATGGAAAAGCAGAACTTTATTTTTTGTATGTTAAAACCCTCATACAGAATTTGGAATCATTTCGCCCATAACCCGAACCAACATAAAGAAACCCTTCAAACAGGTGATAAGGAATAGCTGACGAACAAAGATAGTAAATGAATACCAGGTAGCATACAGATGCAGAATGTGATGTTTATCCCTAGCAGCAACGATCCTGTGCAACACGATGCAAAAAGAACCTACAAAGCCCAAGGTGGGTAGATCTATACCATTACTCGTCTGTCACCTCTTCAACTCGAGGGGCTAGATCACGCTTCACGGCACTCGAGGTATCCGGGGCCGCGGTTGCCGTTGTGGTCGCTGAAGGGGCAGAGTCGGCTGGTTGAGAGACTGGAGATTTGGCGGACTTCGATACGTCGCCAGAAGACTTCTTAGACTTCTTCTTTTTCTTACTCTGTCGTACGGATGTTAGAGAAAGCATAAACATATGGTCGGGACGAACTGCATACCTCTTGCCAACCCCACAAAGGCTTGAAGCTGTCAATAAAGCCAACATCCTCGAACAAGTTCGGGAACAACCAGAGACCAGGAGGGACAGCAAAGACCGTGACGCAGAACAGAATAAGACGGAAGATCGACATGGCGAAGAATAATCCCAGCAGACCCATCATACCAACACTCAGGTACCAAACACCTTGTCTCATCACCATAGGCCACAATGGGAAAAGAACAACAGCGAAAATACCAGCCACCACTGCTGCGGCCATAGCCTTCTGTTTCCATTGAGGTCCCTCGTACAGCCATACGTAGTGCATCATAGGGTCTGTTTCCTGGTGTTGTTCAATCTTGACGGTCCACAGGCCCTTGACTCGGTTCTTGGGCTTCGCGTGGTTGTGACCCGCATGGGGGTCGACTTTCGACACGCGCAAGGCAAGAAGCGATAGAGGAAGGAGCTTGAAAACATTCTCTGCTGATGCACGGTCCGTTACGGGAGGGAGGAGGGAGTTCTTCTTTGCGGCTGCTTTAGCGTATGCGGGCGACTCCAAAGCGCGAATGGCACGTTTCACTGTACAATCAATCAGCCGTGCTGCGGACAACCGGATCTAGATTTCATGAGATAAGCACCTTTGAACATGTCCTTCCTCTGTCCATCCATGATACACGTCCTCGGCTTCAAGTTCTGAGATCGCAAGAACTGCGCAACCGCGATGGCTTTGGGGTCTGGGGGATTCGATGGGTTCACCGGGACTTGATGCGTAGTCTGTTGTGGTTGAGGCTGTTGCGGTGCCTGCTGGCCTTGCTCATCTTGCTGACCTTGCTGCCCTGGTTGTCCTGGCTGTGGCGATCCTTGGCCCTGTCGTTGAGCTTCGACCTGCTTCTGGTGAGCAGCGAGAGCTCGCATTCTCAGTTGTTGGACGTATTGCTCGGTGGACATGCCATGCTTTGCGGCTTCGGCATTCAGCTGTTCGCGCTGCTGTTTAGCGAATTCCTCCGGAGTCATGCCACGCTTTGCGGCCTCAGCAGCGAACTGTTGCTGCATGGCGGCAATCTGCTGGGGAGACGGCTGGCCAGGCGCCGCCATTTTGTAGTAATGTGAAGGACGGAGATGGAGTCGGAATCAATTAATAATAGTGCGGGCGGGGATGGCGAGGATTTCCTCGAACTCGATGGGAAAAAAAAGTGTCTAGCGACTTGGGAGAACGAAGTACTATGGTCGTAGTTGACACTGGAAGATCAACGGGAACGTTAGAAGTGGCCAGATAATAAATGTTTCTTCTCAAAAGGGTAAAGCCGTAAGCCACGCCGCACCGCCTTCATTGCGGCGGAGGAATCTCCGTCATCGCCCGTGTTATCAGTTCATTTACTTCATCTTCCCCCTCTCTTCCCTTCTCCCTTTTCCCTGCCCTCTTGTCTCTATGGCTGCCCCTGCGCGACTTTTTTTAGTACTGTCTGTCTGCCATGCGCATAACCTTTCAGCAGCTCCATGTCATTAAATTACAACCCTGACCCATCATCCCTCATCAATACGAAATGGGAAACGGTCTTTCTGGTAAGTTATCCATCCCAATTCGGGGAACGGAGAAAGCAAAATACAAAGTCAGCTAAACACCGTAACAGAGCGAAAGAGATGTCGCCGGCCAAATTCCAATCAACTATATCACAAGCGCTGGCGTATCCGTGACAGCAGCATGCTTTGGCAACAATGTATTCGAGACGCAGTCCGCTGAACAATGTATATCCAATCTATTATCGGTTGGATACCGACGCTTTCTCGTCGACCTGTACTGGTCGGTGGACTCGCGGGCTTGGACGTTTTGTCCAGTGGCCATTCCAAAGAATGTCCCCGTTGTCACTGTTTCTACGACGCCCACAATGACCCCAACTGCAAATGCCAGTGCTGCTCAAAGTACTGCTACCGTCGTTTCCAGTTCATCAGGATGGCCGGTCTATGAGCTAGGCCCCTATCTGTGCTCAGACAACCTCGATCTATCCGGCCTCATCGATGTCTTCCAGGATTACTTCAAAGACACAACGTCTCAGTTGAATGTGTACATCAGATACCTAACGTTCAACCTGCATGTTGCTGCTAGCGCTGCCGCTCCAGAACAGCCTGCATCGAAGGTATCGGGTGATGGACTGCCGTCCTTTTCTGAGCGAGTTGATGTTTTGATGGATAACCGCCTTTTTCACTATATCTACACACCGGCACAGCTGGTCGATGAGCGCAGTAACCTGAACGAGTCGTGGTATGAAGTTGATGATGGGTACAAGCCTATTACCGAATACTTCACTACTTACGAACTCTCGGATGGTACACAAAGTACCCCGGACGGCTGGCCGGGCTCGAAATATGTGCAACTTGCAAAAGAGCGCCGTCTCTTTCTTGAGTATGGCTCTGTGGACCCGCAGCTCGAGGACTACAACTTGTCTGCGGGTAAAAGCGAGGTCATCTTTCCTCCAAAATACCTAGCATCCTTAGTACTCGCGCCTTTGGCCGATGAAGGGGATTTGGATTACGGTTGCCTCTATGACGCAGATGCTTCCCAGGTATCTCAGGTGAACTCCTCTTGGGCGCTCTCAAGTAGCCTGTCTCAGCCTCAAGGCTTGAATGAGACCTATGCCTTGCGTGAATTGTCAGACAGGGTTGTAAATCTAACCGCGTGTGGGTTAACACCAATCCTCAATAGCACCCTATTCAATATGACCGCCGACAAGGCAGTCGCACCATATAAAAATATCTCTCTATCTTCTACGTGGGCATGGGCGGAGGGGGAACCCCAGGGCGCAGATGTGGCCGACAATATCGATTCACCCCAACATGACCGATGCGCGATCATGGACGTGTCACTAGGCGGCCACTGGCGCGTTGCGAACTGTACAGATGTGCGGCGTGTAGCCTGCAGAGTTGCGAACTTACCGTATACCTGGACAATATCCAGTGCTGCACATAGCTACAGCACAGCCTACTGGGAAGCTTGCCCAGAAAACACGACCATGGGAGTTCCTCGCACAAGCCTAGAAAATACCTACCTGTACCGATACCTCCTGACTCAACCAATCAATATCATTGATCCCACCTCTCCAGACCCCGCTATGCGTGAGGTCTGGCTAGACTTCAACTCCCGGGATATTACGTCATGTTGGGTGACTGGTGGGCCTAATGCTAAATGTCCGTATGCGTCGGATCCTAAACAGCTGGAGAAAAAAACAGTGCTGGTGTCTGCTATCGCAGGCATCGTTATTTGCATCATCACCGCACTGACACTATTTGTCAAGTGTAACACCAACAGGCGCAACTCGAGACGAGGCAAGAGAATCATCCATGGATGGGAATATGAAGGTGTCCCTTCGTAGTGGATGAGAATCGATACTAGATCTGATGGTTATATTCTAGCCACACAATTTTGACGTTTGAAAACCGTTCTGTGACATGAAGCTATATTTATTTGATACCCAATGTACCCTTATATTGAGCAATGTATATCAGTGGATTTTTCTTTTTGATTTTTCTTTTTCATCAGGCTGTATATAGTTTTACTGATGAGTGTATATATTTACTATATTCGAGGGTTCCTCGACATCACGTATCACAACTCCCCTTCATAGCTCCGCATAACTCACGAAATTCACAGGATCCTATCAGATATACTCAGTAAACAAAATCACAGTCCACTTCCGGAGCATTTTATTGAGAAAGAAGAATAGCATCAACAGCGACCGGCGTCGCAAGTAAAAACCCGATATACAGCGATATATACAGGAACATGGCATACATGGTATAGCATGGTACGTTTAACACGAACAAGAAGATCAATCATATATAACCAGTTAGCAATTGACAGTGTGGGATATCCTGATTCGTTCATCGCTGTGAGGAATAAAACAGAAAAACGTTTCGCGAATAACGGCATTATTATGGAGATAAAGGTAATGGTTTGAGAGCAAGCAAAAGAAAGGGAAGGAGAGGGTGGTTTGCAAATCAAGGAGAGAAGAAAAGAATAGAAAAGAGGCCGTGATGCTATATGAAGTTCGAAACTGTAAAGCGCTGATGCAGTATGGTATGGTATAAAGCTTTTTGGTTAGACACTGCGGGCTATCAAAGCCGGCAAAGAAGAAAAAGATTCTGGCGTAGTGAGGTATGATGAGAAAGGAAAATAGTGGTATATAGTTAAGAGAGGTCGGTCTTTATATGTATACGCGATGGTCAAGGATTGAGATATGGCTGAACAAAAACAGGAGCGGCCAATGACTTATATACCATTGACGGTCCGTGGATGTCGAGAACCAAGACTTTGGGTTGCTGGTGGAAGAGGCATGTGAGTAGGACGAGGTGCGGCACTGGCCAGGCTTTTCCGACGCAGTCGGCTGCTTTTCGATGGTGGTGGTGATATGCACACACGCGGGTCCGGAAATTGCTCAGCTATCTCAGGAAGCGATGGCTCAATTGGAGAAGGAATTTTTGGTAAAGGACAGTCAGGAGGAGGTAATGCTGGCGGTCCAACTGAAAGTCCAGGCATACTCTTGCGACGGAGCATGGGTCCAGTGGAAGGACGATTTGGGGTGGCTGTGGGAAAAACAGAGACTCTGTGGCGTTGCTGTTCCCGACGAGACGTTTGAAAGCCGGTCTCCGGGGGCGATTGTGGGATTTGGGAATGGGCAGGCTCGTGCTCGATAATGCTAGTGGGTCGCGAGGATTGCGCGGGAGTCGATGTCGCGGCGGCGGCGGCGGCCTTTGAAATGCGCGAAGCATGCTGCAGTTTTGGGTCCATAATTCTAGAATCTCCGAGCGAATCCTCAGAATTGGATATGCGTAAAGACCTCCTCTGAGGGGAATCACGGAAAGGTACGACTTGTTCATGCGATTCACTCATTGCGACACTGCTGATGCTCTTGATCGGAGACTGCGGTGGAGACGGGAAGGCAGAGATAGCGTTAGCCTCGTCTGTGTCGGTTTCGTCTCTGTGAGCGGAGGGAAACCGAGGAATCTGCATCTGACCATGCCCCATTCTCGCTGTAAATCTCTTGCTGAAAGATGGAACACTGAAGTTCGGGGCTGGGGGCGAAGCGCTTCGCAAAATGGGATCAGGCACCATTTGTTGGGGCTGGGAAAGGTCTGAAGTTTCTGCTATTGCTGGTGCATTCGACGGATGCACTGACTCTCGCTTCATCGAGACCGAGAACGTTGGGCTTCTGGGCGGGCCATCTGGTGTAGATAGGACCGTTGAAATAGCGCTGTCATTTGGAGGTGGACTAGCCCCGTTTGCTTCGGGCTTCATTCCCATAGAGTAGAAACGCGTCTGGCCACTGACCGGAGAAGTCACCTCCGTTTGTGTCGTGGACATCGATTCGGAGCGCGACTCGGGAGTCGCCTGCGTAACCAGCGACCGTCGATTAAATGAGATATATGAGCTTCGGCGAGATTGATCACTGAAATCTTTATCATCAACACCGATCACTGATTGAGGATGTAGATATGCTTGGGAGAACCGGTTAGGGTCCTTCTTTACCAACTGTCGGGTGCTGGGTTTAGACTCCAGTTGATGCTCCGTGTCATCGTCGACCGCTTTCTCCGAGACATACTTCTTCCCTCCACGCGCCTCGATCTGAGCCCTGACAGCTAGAAGCCATGAACTCATCTCTTCCGGGGTGTTAAAAACTAGAAGAAGACTCCGGGCTAAACGGCGAGCATGGGAACGATGGAAACCAAAGCGGGAGAATAGATGCCGATGCGTGTCGGTTGAGGCAGCGTTATTTTCATCGTTCAATTGGGAAATTTGCAAAACCCAATGCTTGCCCGGGATCGCATCGCTCGCAAATGCTACAGACTTGGGACCTAGCTGCAACATCTTCTCCGGCAGCCTATCATACTTTCCGCTACCAGAATACTGCAAGATATATCCAGTTGTGACCAATACATAAATCTTTGGAGACCAGTCAGTCTTGCCGATAGTCTCAGACAAGGAGCGCATGTGCTTCTTCTTCTCTTTGGCCTCCTTCTTCCGAGCCGCTGGATTGTCTGCCTGGGATGATTCGTTCGGAGTGCTGCTTTTTTTCGCAGAAGACGTGGCCTGGATCCGCAAAATAGATTCCGCAGATAGAGAAGGGGTCGGGAGATTATCATGTTTAATTGCCTGTGGGTAGGCTTGAAAAAGCGGGGGAGGTTTCCAGCCTATCTCACCCGCCGCTGGCTTATCCTCGTTAGTTTTCTGGCGAGATTTTGAGGGCTTGGACCGATGAGGATCCGCTATAGGTGAAGTCACAACTGTCGGCGTGGAGAACGCTGTTTTAGGTGTAGCTAGTGTTGGTGAAAGCGTGGCAGCGAGGTCTGGGGCAGCCTGTGCCGCAGGGTCCTGCGTTTCCTCGATTTCAGAAAGCTTAGAGTCAGTGCTCTCTTTGTGGGGTAGTTTTTCACGGCTGAAGATGCTACGCAGGCCGGATTTAGAGGACTGCCGCTTGACTGGGGTCTGCAATGGAACGCGCTCGCCTGCCTCGGCATCATTCTGATACTCCTCCGGCCGTGGCCGATTAGGACGAGTTGCTACCACAGTCGGCCGGGCACTTGGGCGGCTGAAGTTGGTTTGTAACGGGGCTAGGGTTTGGCCTCTGCGCTCGCTGACCGATGATTTAGGGGGCTCAGTGTTCACTGTCATTCTGCTGTCTTCGGTTGACAGCTATCTTTGTTTCGTGGGCCCTAGGACTGGTTGGGTCTCATGCGAATCGAGATGTGCTATTGTCCTCGTGTCATGGGCTCCAATATAGCCGAACCACTATTGAGCTGAGGGAGGCGATTAGTGGAAAGTGTACGATTGGCGCAAACAATGTGTAGTTGAACGAATGACGAATTGAGCAGAAAGTGCGGTCCCAAGTAGGTCTTCTTTCTCCACAAAAGACGGTGGGATAATGGGCATTGCAGTATCGGATGGACCCACGGTGTCTACTAAATAGCGCATTGATCACCAATTGAGGAGAGTCGAAGAGAGGTGATATCAAATGGGAGTTGAAATATCAATTCCGAGGCAATAATGATCGTCTGGCGGCCTGAAATCGTGTCGTAATAAATAAATGAAGGAAATTGAGTTGGGGTCGCTACAATAAATCAATGGGCGATATGACTACTCTATCGACTGTACCGAAGCCATGGTCCTCCAAAGCGCTCTAATTCTGGTAAGTGAGTGTTAAAAAAGCAAGATGGGGAGGGTAGAGTGTGGAAGGGGAGAAGAGAAAGAGATCTTGTCGAAAAGGCCGGGTCTGGATGGGCGATGAGATTCCAGCCGCAACGGAGTCATGACCAAATTTTTTTTTTTATTTTTTCCTTTGTGTTAAAATTAAACCGGACGTACCAATGCACACTAGTCTGTGGCTAAGGAAGCTCCTGCCTTAGTCGCGGCGGTGATAGTGTAGGCGATGAGTAAACCTGAAACGGATGAGTCTCGCGGTAGTGGAGAGAGGATGCGTTCTGAGACAAGAGGATTGAAAATGAAGCACAGATTTCATTGCGATCTGAATTTCTGATCGGGCGCGTAGTTCAGCATTGAGTCCATGCCAAAACGTCTTCGACCAAGATGACGAAACCCTCGGCCCTCCGTACGGAGTAAGTATTCTCCCAAGTCCCAACACATTGAAAGATGAGAGAATACCCCTGAAATTCAGCCCCTCCAAGGTCTCCACCTTGGGTAACGGTTTTCCGCTGATTGGGCCGACGTTAGTGGAAATGGGAATGGAATCATCGCTAGCTGGTTAGTTAAACGATAGTAAGCCTGGACACACAGTTTCACGGTCGATCGCTGTCAAAGTAGGGCCCCGTGTGGCGTACCTGTAGATCTCGACCACAATATCTTACTCTCACAATTGGGAGGAGTTTCAACTCGTATTGCCTCGAAGGAGGAATCGAGAATTTTCCTAATTTTTTTGTTGATAAGCTTGGCTTTTTCTTCTTTTTGGGTTCTCAACCTTATTTGTCACGCGGGCACGAGACCCGCGTTTATGCACGTCAAAAAAGGTTTGTGCGGCTGACTAATTATTAGTTTTCCCCTTAATTAACACAAGTCAACCCTTACCGTTTTGGTCCTGGAGTCGGTAAACCCCAATCTGACCTAGTGGTATAAAAGTCGTTAAGACTTAAACAGGTCTAATAAGATGAACATCTTATAGTCTCTCGGTCCGCGTTTTTAACTCGGGTTCCTCGGTTCCGCTTTGTGGGGGAGTTGGGGAACGAAAGATAGACAAGTGGATGTTATACCCGCAACATCTTTTACGTATACTTATGCATTGCCTCAATCGTATAATTCCAACATAAAACGCAAAAGAAAAAGACAGGATCATCTGTAGTGATATCGCAGTGATTCATCCAAAATTGATTCCTCACATACTCACACCGCACATACTTCCTCTTTTGTGACCTCCTCGTACGTGTCGTATATATATTACCAATTTGGTGGATTGCCGGTAGAAATACCTACACATAGCTCTCGTATACCTTTGCCCTCTTTAAGAAGTCACTCTAGAAGTTAGAACTCTATAAGAACGCCTTGTTTTCATTGCGATAGGCCCCAAATTTGCCTCTTTCTTTCTGTGAATGCTCGGTTGACCTTTGTTGATCTAGGACCTCTTCCAGCAATGTACTAACAATAGTATTGAGCCCCCTGAATTTTTTGATTACTTCAACAGTGCCATGAGACGTATCATCTCAGATGTTGCTCATAGGAATTATTTCCCATAGAAGCTCAAATTTCAAGGGTCAATTACGCCCAAAATAAAAAAGCCCTGAGGTATAGAGATCGTCAAGAACATGTACTAACCCCCAGAGCCGGCACGCGAGCGACAAATACTTGAAGATCTGGCATCAGCTGCTTACCCAGGCTACATCTTAGGCTGCCCTGCTATTGACCAATTACTTTCCCTCACTAGAATCAATGTATGTCGCGCCTTTATGAATAACATCAGTCTGCTGGGACTGGTAATGGATGGCCTTTGTGAGGCAGACGTTGTCTCGCCTTTCAACCAAGCAGGACCGACGTCACCCATGGCTAGATTTCTTTCCTGATCCTCGAGCTCGAGATAACCTTATCCGTGCACAGAAACGCTACGATGAAGATTAACTCTGTTCAGATATACTGGGATTCTGGGACCCAAACGCAACTGACAATATGCTGCTGGTCTGGGGCGAACCATCCGATTTGCGAAAATTGGGAAGTGACCGCAAGCTTTATAAAGATATCGGGGTGGGCCATTCATGACTACCCAGAGATTCTGCAGTATACCAATAATTGGGGAGCTCAAAGAGGGGAGAATCTCATCTTTCGCTATCTATACAAGGGCCGCTGTATATGTATGCTTCAACGCGTAGCAGGAGAGGCATTGAGTCCTAACTCATAGCAACACCAGCATATCCGAAACCACTATCTAGCACAATAGTACCCTTTCAAACTACGAGATATCTTCTTGCACCCTTACCTTCGAAAACCGGTCACGTGAGCCAGCCCTAAAAGCGGCAAGCCTCCATAAACCCGGAGGTGGTCCGTCCACCGGCAGAATAAAGCGAAGCAACAGCTAAGCTAGCTCTCTATACAATTGTCCGCCAGTTCATCAATCTCCACAACAAACATGAACACCGTGTCTAGGGCGCTACAACGCCCCAGTCGATCACTGACATCGCAACTCCGTCGATCGATCCGCCAATATCACCAGCGAGCTTTCCCGTCTTCCTCCGCCTCAATCGCCACTTCTCATCATACTCTCCGCTCCGGATCGCCATCTCTTTCCCGCACATCCAACTATCCTTCACCTTCGCAAGCGCACCGAACTTTCTCGCACAGCTCGACAACAATGGCCGCAGTACCCAAATTTGCCCGAGGCATAGACGGAAGCAAATTGCAACCGGAGCTGGACTCATTACTGGAACAAGGGTGGGCGTTGGATCAGGATGGAATGGGCGTGAAGAAGACATACTACTTCAAGACATATTTTAAAGCGGTGGTATGTTCATTTCTCCTCTTTCTTTCCCCAGCAAACTTCTACTTGAATATCTATACCCACTACTTTCTTTACTCTGTCTATCATACGTCCAAAGCTAATAAAGCGAAACAACAGAGCTTCGTTAACGTCGTCGCATCGCAAAGCGCAGCGAAGAAACACCACCCAACCATCACAGTCGTGAGTGCCCCGACTCAAACGGAACCAAAACAATCCTAACAAGGTATAATTCTTTACAAACAGAGAATCGGCTCCGTCGACATCCACTGGACCACGCACCAACCCCGCGGTCTAACCGATAAGGATCTGATGATGGCGCAACACTGCGACGAGGCGGCGGAATTAATGGGCGCTGTGCAAAAGGAAGAGGGCAAGAAATGCGGACCTTCTTCTCCGACTCCCTCTCCCCCAGGATTATAGGCGCAAACGGAAGATATAAAATAATCAATCGTGTATATGTATATCCATGGTCAACTAAGAATATCCTTCAGTGTAGGTTTGATGTATAACTGCATTCGAGTAAACGAAAACAAATTTGCCGAGACAACACAGCACGGCGCAGTGTCATGGCCATATGAGAGTCTCGACCCGTCCATTCCTGAGTACCTCAAACTTCAATGATCAAACAACCAGGATCACATGCCCACGCCAAAGAATCCTTCACAACAATCTAGACTCCCAAAGAACCCTTCATCAACTCCCAGATCCAAACATTCCTATTCCTAGCTCCTCAAGAATGATGCCCTCCCTCCTACCTACCCAGCCATCTAAGGTACAGTACATATGTTCATCCATAGCAGATCATAACATAACATAACAGAGACCGCCCAAACAATACCAATAACCAATCCTCCAAGTACCAATCCCCAAGGCCAACCAAAAGTACCAGATAAGCAGATCAGATAAACAAACGAACAAGTCAATGAGGTCATAGGCATGAAGTCATGACCCCACCAGGTACCCCGGATACTCCCCGTTACTACTCAACCTCATCTACCCGAAACGGCCAGCAACGTTAAGCTTATCTAGGTAGTATCGGGAGGACGAGTCTAGGTCTCATAGGTGGGCTACACGCGAGTCAGGAATAGAGTTCCGGAGGGTGGTACCGGACCCCTGTGGTACCTTGTTCGGTTGGAACGGAGCTGTGGAGATATACGAGAAAGAACTCAACTCGAACGGTTCCCTGATCCGTCGATTTCGGCAGGATCATGGAGTCATACCTTGATAGACGCATTGAGTATGAGAGCGATCTGTGGGGGTGGGACCTCACAGATCGGTACCAATATCCTCCTCCCTTCACCCCGCAGGGCACATGTGGAATGGATCCTTATCATCCTGTATAACATCCTCCCGTAGGTATCTACGTCCCGCGGAGGGTTACATTGACATGACACGAAATGGTCAGTGGCACTCCAATCATAAATTTACCTACGAAGATCGATAAGCAACGTCTGTAAGCGTTTGAATTTGTATTATCCTACAGCATCTTCGACACATTGCCGGAAGCAGCACTTCTTGAACAAACCGTGGTTGGGAATCAAAATGCAATACATACACAAGAACCAAAGAATGGAAAAACAGAGGCTTGGGAAATAAAAGATTAAACAAGAAATTAAAGCCTATTGACGTGCAATCAGGCGTACGGTCGCTTGAACGCCCGTTTTCCAACGCAGATGCACCCGTTCGTGATACCTCAACGTACATACATCTGAACCCGTCCAGTAGAATTTCCATGAACGAGAAACCAAAAAGACACCATAGAAACAAGAAGTAGAAAGAGAAAAACAAAAACAAATTTTGAGAAGATCCGCTACCTTGCCAGTCCACAAAAGGACCCTAGACGTAACTAAGACAAGGGTCACCGCATGTCGGCCATGGGCGGAAAGTAACCTTCGTCAATCGTTTCCGTAACATCGTCATCATACAACTCAATCAGCCCCAGGCCAATGTTGTAGAGATGTCGAGACGTGCTCATCTATTGATTAACACTGTTCCGGCGGGAGTTGACGCGGGAATTCACACGAGAGTTAGCATGCGAAGCAGGGCGGGATCCAATATAGCTGCCCTGACGGCTCCCAAGATTTTGACGGATGCGCAAGTTCTGCTGGGACCGAGCAAATGAGTTCGCCCGGGACCCAGAGGGGATCTTAGAAAGCCGGCGCCCGTGGGTTTGCAGCTCGACGCGGGCATCGGACAATTGCTGGGCAAAGGGCGAGCGCTTGCGCAGTGTCGGTCCGTACCAATAGATCACATATACTGCAATAACAAGCACGAATGAGATACAGAATAGAATTGTAGACGCGTACTCCAGATGGTACTTTCCGCCAATATCTGAACACTCTTGGTTAGCGCTTGCTGTATTCCAGCCAATTCCCGTCTGTCACTTACTCTGGTAAAATGGAGTAGCAGGGATGGTAAGGACACCAGCGAGAAAGTCTCTCGCCCATCCATTTCCACCCGTCGCAGAGGCCGAGTACGGACCGTATGCGCAGACCATGTAGTCGATAGTAGCCATGTAGATACTATAGTTAGCAATACCGACGATTGCCGAGAAAACCATAGTTCCAATCCAGTGTGTCTGCGGCAGACTGGTCCATGCGAAGCCAATCAAACCAATGGGCAGGCACGGCGCAGTATACAACAGCCACCAAAGTCGGGATTCGTATTGGGTATGCTCGTCATCTGGCCGCATCCGCCGTTCGTAAGTATTTCTCCGGATCGCAGGGACAAAGGAAGCCCAGGCGATGAAATAACCCACGAGAATCGGAAGGAACGAGAGACCCAAAGCAACGGTGCTGAAGTTCCATTGCGCATACACAAGACCGAATGATTGAATAAACATGAAGATCAGGGCATCACTGAAACCACTCAAAAGAGAGAGACAGAGGACGATCGGCTCGGTCAAGAACATCTTGAACGGACGGACCCAGGTGACCAGAATTTCTCTCATGGAGAAACGCTCCCTGTAGGGGATGAGCTCGTTTGGTCCATAGATGTTAGGATTTTCGCCGCTCTCTCTCTTCTTCTTGGCAATCCTGTCCATCAGAATAGTAGTCCGGGTCTCGGGCACGAGAAAAAAATGGGCAATCTGGACAAATCCTCCAAAGATGAGCTGGATCCAGATGTTCCAGCGCCACGGCAGGTATGCTTCAACAAAGCCACCCACAACTGGTCCAAGTACCGATCCACCAACCGAGGAGAAGACCACACAGGCTACAGCGTATTGCTGGTCATCGGCTTCCCACAAATCCGCAATCATACCGAGAGTGACCGACCCTCCAGCGGAGCTGAGACCACCTAGCGCACGGCCAACCATGATAGAGGCGAAATTAGGGGCGAGAGCAACAGGCAGTTGCCAAATATTAACTAGGAACAAACTCGCCTGGAGAATCGGTTTGCGACCTAGTTCCTCGCTCCACGGAGCCCATAGCTCACAACCAAACGCATAGAGCACAAGGAAGATCATCGCCCCACAACGAGCAGCCTGCATGCTCACGCCAAATTCCTCCGAAATGCCGCCAAGCGCATTGGAATACAAACTGGTATTGAAATTCATGGAGACCTGGACAAGAAAGATGACTGAGATGATCATCCATTTTCTCCAACTTGGGAAAGAGTAGCCTAGCTGATCGTAGCAATCTTCTTCTGTCAACTCAATCTTCCCTCCGTCCAAGGCGGTGTTTTCCAGCTGATGGAAGGTAGTTCCAGCTGCCGCAGGATCATTTGCCAAACCCAGCTGGGGTTTATGCAGGGGCGGCTCAGCCTCTTTTTCACCGAGCTCGAATCCTCCGTCGGCCTGAGACGAAGAAGAAGCCCCCGACTCATGGAGCTTCTCGTCCCTGTTTATGGCCTGGTCCGAAAGAGGGGCCATATTTGATCCTATAAGTCGTTGGTTAGAAACTCAGGGGGAGAGAGATGGAGGACAAAAGCTTAGTATCCTGGATAGATGGAAGTTGAAATCAAGTGAGGGAGTTCATAGACCATAAGAGTGATAACTGAAGATGTATGGAGAAAGTAAGACTTACAGGGTAGGCAATGGTGATCTCCCCAATGCAGTAACAGGTAATATGTAGGTAGGTAGAAGTGTTTGGAAGTGAAGGTAAGTGGAGGTAAGTGGAGGGTGTACCACAATGAAGATAGGAAATATAGATGTATGAAAACAGAGGGGAAGAGAGTGGTTGAAGTAGGAAAGAGAAGTTGAAGAGGTGGGAGGAGAGGAGAGGATATAGAAATAAGAAAAAAAAAAAAATAAAAGTGAAAAAAAAAGACCGAGAGTGAGAAAGCAGTGACTGGAAAAGGCAAAGACGCAGCCAAACCGTGCTTTGCTGCTCAATCAGGTAGTCACCCAGAAAGGGAAAGTATGGGGAACAGGCCTAAGGAACCAAGTGGAAATACTACCTCAACCTAAACTTACCAGATAGAAAGTATTATATGTACCTCGCGCTGGTTGTTGGGTCCATATATCTATCCTTGTCTTTTTCATTTTATTAATTTCTTTTTTTTTATATACCTACGCAACCAATAAAATTATAACCTGTGAGAGGGAATTTGTTACATGCAGGTAAGAGAAAGACACGAAATGAGAGCGTTTCCTCTGAGCACACTCGTTTTCTACTTTATTTTATTTTTATTTTTATTCTATTTTCCACCCCCCTCTTTTTTGAAAATTCGATCATCCACTGATTTCATGGCCCAAATTCGTCTTTCAACGGGAAACTGGACCGCATGGGTCATGCATCAAGGAAGAACCTCCTTGGCTCTGGTTGGCCCATGGTTGCAGGCCAGGACCGAATCAGGAAGACGGGCTGCATTCCACTTGGACTCCAATGTCATCCACTTGCCACGCCGGCCGAAGTCTGTCGTCCAGCTGCGAGATCTGACTTCCCCCGGACATTGCACTAGTCGGAGGCGGATAGTCCCCCCTACATCATGGGCGCATAGTCTGACTGGCGGCCAACAACGACCGTCCCCACGGGTATGGTAATAACATCCCGCAACAGGGTAAAAAGGCAGGCTGGTGGTTTTGGTACCTCCACCTTAGTGCGGATGGGGGTATCCAGCAACCATTACTGGAAGCGTTCTGGGCCGGGGGAGTCGAGGAATGCCCGCTTCGGGAAAGAAGAACAAAAAGTCGCACGGGATTGTGAAAGTCCCACACAGTATTACTTATGCAGGCTATACGAACCGCAATACTCAATCTCCATAGTATTTTTATGATTAAGATTCTGCGGGATTTAATTATAGATACTCTAAGGTAAGCCATAAGAGATTATTGCTGAACGCTATGGGACAAGGTTGTTATCCAGGAGATTAGGGTTGGGTTCGTCGTGACCCGATGCAAGGGAGTCGGCATCAGCGACCACGAGTTGCGTGGCTTCCCGATGGGCGGTCGGTATTAAACCGAGTTTATGTATTTTGGGGATCGGGATGATAAGCAACCATGAAAAAGTATTTGGTAATACTTCGTATTTGATGGAGAGAATTTTCTGTTCATTACATTGCATTGAGCAAGATGAATGGAGTCATTCTCTGTAATGAAGGTCCACTCATTGGGCCCAGTTTTTTTTTTTTTTTTT